ACCAAGTTTATGAGTTGGCCAAGGCTATGTGGAATTGATCCATTAAGTTGATTTATTCCAAGATTAAGCTTTCTTAAATTTCTCATCTTTCCAACCCATTTAGGTATGCTTCCGCTTAGTTGGTTGTATGAGATATCCAAGAATGTCATGTTATATTCCTTGCATTTTAAAACACTTTCATCATCAATTAATTCTATAAAATTGTTTTCGGCAAGGTTCAAATCATTAAGATCACATAATGGGTTCAAAGTGGAAAATGAAATAGGTCCATTTAAATAGTTTGATTGGAGATTTAATGTCTTTAAGCTTTTAAATTGTCCTATCCAGTTTGGCAAAATCCCATTGAAATTGTTAAAAGAAAGATCAAATGTGTTGATGGTCAATGAAAAGTTAGAAAATGGAAGTGAAGCTGGAAGTGTATGTAGGCTGCAAGATGATAAATGTAGACTAGAGAGAGATGGAAGTACCTTAATCTCATGTAACCAATTCGTAGCAGAAGTTAGATTCACATAAGACATATCAATAAAACATAAAGAGTAGAGGCGTGACATCCATGCAAGATTATAGGCAGCCAAATAATTCCCACTGAGATCAAGTAAAAAAAGATTTGTCAAGTTTCCGAGTTGAGGTGGGATCACTCCGGCAAACTCTGAATAGGAGAGGTCAAGATATCTCAATTCAGTGAGGGAACCAATAGAATGAGGTATGCTTGCTTGATTGAAGGAAATGCCAGAAAGGCTCAAGTATTGTAGGTGGTGCAAGAGAAAAAGTGATAGAACTAAAGATGTGGCATGTAAGGAGCCTTCCTCCCTTAAATCGAGCTTGATGACATGATTGGTTGTATTGCTGCAACTCACACCCTGCCATGTACAACAATCTTCACCTATTTCCCAAGTTGAGAGAACGAGCTGTGGATCAGATAAACTTTGCTTGAAACCAAGGAGGGCATCTCTTTCCTCAACGCTACAGCGTTGGTGCACTTTGCTAGTAGCTACGTTGCCTTCACTTATCGCTACCAAGAAACTAAAAGACAAAGCAAAGATTGGTAATAGAAAAGCCACTACTCTTCCCATCATGATTTCTATAATTTTGGCTCCCTTACTCTTATCTCTATTTATAGCATGGGCTGGCACAAATAATTCTCTCCCCAACTTGTAAATTAGTTTTCTTAAAGCTTTAATTTGTAATGTTTTTGGTAGAAATATGAATTTCCAATTCTTTAAAGACTTTCCAATGAAGCTGTGGACTTTGAAGTGCACTAATCAACCGGTTGGAATAGTCAAATAGATACTGCTGTTGCGGAATTCACTCACAATTCTTATTTATTTACATATCTAACACCTAAACTTTAAGATTTAACAATACATAAAAAAAAATCATTCATACTAATTTCTTCAAATACATACTTTTATGCATGAATATTTTAAATGTAACTATGAAGTTGTAAGGGTCAGATATATAAATTCATAAGATTTGTATGGTACATATGTAAAATTCCCTTCCAACCATAGTCGGCTGCTTTACCGAAGCGTGGCCTTGACTTGAACTTTGACAGGCTTGAATCCTTCCAACGAAGCTTACATGCCTACCGCTCAAACCTTTATATATTATTCTACAGGATTAATTTGTACCTCCATTGAGTCCTATTAAGTGTGAATGGATTGTAAAAGTAAAGATTTGCTTACAGCTCATTATAGTTGGTTTATATCTTGTGCTGTCAAGCAATGACTCATATGGATGCATTAATGAGCTTATTTATAACTTAGATTGGCACATAAAGTTTTTATATTTCATAAATAATAATTGTACTCAAATTTTTGATAAATAAATGACTATATATATGTGATGGAGAAATCTAAGTTATTTTCGTATATTTTTTTCTACGAAAATAAATAATAATAATTTTTATTGTTATGGATAATTTTGCTGTTTTTTAGTAAATTAATTGCATGCTTTTTTTTGCAATACTTAAATTAAATTAATGGAAAATATTGAAGAAGGTTAAACTTTATGTCAAAAATTAACTATAAAAACTAAAATAGGTATTTAATTGTTAGAATGATGAAATATAAATTTGTTGAGATAAATTGTGATGATGATAGAGTGATTACTGCTAAAATAATTGTTGTGCTTTAAAATCATTATTGAGATTAATATTAACTCATCAAAACTAGCTTGCGAGCCTATTAGTATGTTTTAAGAAAAAAAACATGAGTTGTATGAGGAGCTAATAGTCGAGTAGGCTTGTCATAAGCTAGGCCTTTTAGCTCATCGAACTTGGCTTGTAATCAATCTGAACTCGAGTTGATTGAGGCGTCGACTTGGCTTTGTTACGCCATAACTTGGACTAATTTAATGCATTGATTATGGCCCAAAATTTTTTCTAATAATGGTGAATAGAGCTATCCATAAAATTAATTTATAGTCCCAATCGATCATTAGAATTTACTCATACAATACGTAATAAGCTAAATAAATAATTTATTAAATTATAAATAAAAGAGACAATACTAAAGTTTTACGTACGTTATGATTTTTCTTGAAAATGTCATGAGTGCAAATACTAGTAATAATCTAAGAAAAAATACCAAAAGCTTTTCATGAAAAGGTTGAAAACAAAAAAAAAAAAAATTATGGCCAATTGATATAACCTACATTATAAGCAAAATAATAAAATTGGAATTAGTGAATGGTGGTAATGATGGTTAACAAACAACGGATGATCAATAGACATCAGTGTGATCGATAAATAATGAGACGATTGTCTTATGGAGATAGCCAAGCGATGATAGTTGAAGAACATTGATTGGCTGACAGTGGTCAAATGATAACATTCAAATGATGGGGGTGTTCAGATAATGACAATCAAACGACTCTTGTTGGGAGATGATGATTATTGTCAGTATTGATCATTAACATCTAATATCGAATAGTGCTCTAGCGTTCTTCATTATTATAGCTCATTGGAATAGTTTCATGATAAGGTTCATTGAACAATATTACTAATTACTCTTACACTTTGAATTTTAGTATTTATGCTTGTTTCACACCCCTCATAGATGTGCATTAATGTTAAATATTTATTTAACATGTGTACCTTATAATTTATTATAAATTACATTAGTCTAATATGTGTATTATATTTTTTTTATTGTTACACAATCTTAAAATGGAATAATATAAAATTTATTATATAAATAAGAATAGAGTAATATTTGAATGACATATTAGTTATTATAAAATAAAGTAGGTGATGTATGAATAAATATAAATGTTTATAGTGATATTTCAATTAAAAAGTGCAGATTCTATATTATCATGCAATAAATAAATTAAAGAGAAGAAACTGTAAACTTGACTTGATTTGATAATGAAGGCAGAGCTGATCTGGACTAATATGAACTTGATTTTACATACGGATCACAATTCTTATGTATTTACATATTTAGCCCCAAAAATTTAATAATAATACTTCTAACAATTTAGTGTCATAAATGTATACAAGAAAATGTGTACTTTAGTACCACCCAAATCTTTTGTATCATTTCAAAAGACTTATGGGACTTTAATTATCATAATGTTTTACATTTCTTGATATCAAACAAATTTTTATGACTTAACACAATACTCTTTTATGAATTTAGAAATAATTGATTAATGACATATCATTACTTATAAAAAAATAAATCTGATTTTAATCTACTGTTATCACCAATATAGTCTCAAACAACTCAAGGATTCAAAGAGAAATGCAGACTAGATGGACAGAAAACTTCACTTGAAATACCAGTACAAAACAATATTATACACACAAGGATCACAAACAACACTTTTGAAACAGCTCAAATACATAAATGATCATTATTTAATTATGTAATTTATTCATTAAACCGCTGATTCACTTTCACGTGACAAATACAAAAATATTATTTATCATTTTATCCAGGAATTGGAAGTAAGTAGTCGCCCAAGACCTCTTGAGCAATAAGGTCCCTAATACACTCCATAGCCCAACTGCAAAACCAAGACCCATACAGAGGAACAAACCAAAGTCATCATCACCCTCGGAATTGCCTCCTTTGTCATGTATATTATGTTCATAACCTCCACAAGTCTTATTTAGTGGGTTTCCACAGAGTTTGTATTTCCGTCGTAACTTGATTCTTGAAAAATGTAACAAATTAATTATAAAAAAAAAGACTTTTATTGTTAGAAAGTTAAAATATAAAGATGAGAGAATGATTCTGTTAAAATAATTGTTGTACATTAA